GGTGATCCTTTCTAACAGCGCACACCCAGATGAGTACAAGATCGCGGCCCTGGTCTTCTACAGCTGCATCTTCCTGATTGGATTATTTGTTAATGTCACCGCGCTATGGGTTTTCAGCTGTACGACCAAGAAAAGAACCACCGTGACTGTCTACATGATGAACGTCGCCCTGCTAGACTTAATATTTATCCTGAGTCTACCCTTTCGGATGTTTTACTATGCAAAAGGTGAATGGCCATTCGGGGAGTACTTCTGCCACATTCTTGGGGCCCTGGTGGTGTTTTACCCGAGCATGGCTCTGTGGCTTCTGGCTTTCATCAGTGCTGACAGATACATGGCCATAGTACAGCCAAAATACGCCAAGGAACTGAAGAACACTTGCAAGGCTGTGCTGGCCTGTGTGGGGGTCTGGATAATGACCCTGACCACCACTGTCCCTCTGCTCCTGCTCTACGAAGACCCCGACAAAGCCTCCTCGCCTGCCACCTGCCTGAAGATTTCGGACATCATCCACTTAAAAGCTGTCAACGTGCTCAACTTCACCCGGCTCGTGTTCTTCTTCCTGATCCCGCTGTTCATCATGATCGGGTGCTATGTGGTCATCACCCACAGCCTCTTGCGAGGGCAGACGTCCAAGCTGACGCCCAAGGTGAAGGAAAAGTCCATCCGGATCATCATCACCCTGCTGGTGCAGGTACTCATCTGCTTCGTGCCTTTCCACATCTGCTTCGCCTTCCTGATGCTGAGCGGGGAGGAAAACAGCTACAGCCCCTGGGGCGCCTTCACCACCTTCCTCATGAACCTCAGCACCTGCCTGGACGTGGTCCTCTACTACATCGTCTCCAAACAGTTCCAGGCTAGGGTCATCAGCGTCATGCTGTACCGCAATTACCTCCGCAGTGTGCGCAGGAAAAGCTTCCGATCCGGCAGCTTACGGTCACTTAGCAATGTGAACAGTGAAATGCTATGAGTCAGAGCAAGCAACCTGTCTTTAATCTCATTAAAACTCTTTGTCTACCTACTCTTGGGTGAGTCGGGATTCTGTATCATCCAGCCTCTTCTCTGGTAAAATAATAATAACAATAACTTTAAAAACTTCTGTGCTATTTTATTATTCCAGCAACATAATTAAACCCTGAGTATTCTGATATGCTCATTTATTTTTATCTTACACCTTGTACAAGACATGTGCATGAGCCATTTGTGGGGGTTATGCTTGTGACCCCAGCGTTCAAAAGGCCGACAAAGGCCAGTCCAGGCTACGTGGTGAGACTCTGTCTCAAAAACATCAATAAAAATACAAAGAACAAGTTCATGAATTACTTGGGGAGGGCCACCCAAATCAGGTTCCATCCCAAGCCTCATCTGAGCAGGCTGTGAAATGCCTTAACATGTTTTGATTAACGTCTGCACACAAGTGAGGGAGAAGTAAGTTACTGTTGAGAATGATTTGACAGATCCCTTCTGTCAGTTCACCCTTGGGATGGCGGTCCAAATTCCGTGTGCTCTGCTCCAGACATCAGCTCTCAAGGTTCCGACACTCTGCTCAGCCCACCACAGGACACGGCTGAGGCTGACAGCAGCAGGGGGCTCCAGCGGCCCCATCCTTTCTCTCAACAAGCGCCTGCTGCCTCCCAAACCCTGACCTAAGGCAAGTGTTGGGAAGGTGACTGTGCAGTGCTCAGATAACTTGTTAATCACACTACCAGCAGCCTGCTCTTACACGGCTAAAGATACATTGTAAAGGTTTTTCCAGGCCACATGTTGGTTGGGGAATCTCAGCTCTGATCCTGGCCTACCCATTTGGATTCTCCATAAAGAAACTCTTGTCTAAAGCGAAGGAGGTGAACATCACATAAACATAAGCGACTCAGCTGAAAGCTTCCTCTACAAACTCACCTCCATTACTCTTCTGTCCTGGAGCTCAGAGACCCACCTGCCTCTACTCCCTTCAGGTCTATACCAATTGTTCAATGATAAGCAAACCATTTACAAAAACGTCCTGACTATCGGATGAGGGAGCAAAGGTGGGGGTTTCTGATGCAGTCTCTCAACAGAGGAAAATAAGGGAAGATTTCAGACGCAAGCGAGTAAAATCCTTTAATAACATTGGGGGGCGGGGGCTGTAGTTCCTATGCAGTTCAGGGTACGAATATGCACAGTACTGGGTGGCAGAGCACTAGTCTAGCATGTGAGGAGGCCCTGCATCAGACTTCCAGCCTAGAGGGAGGGAAAGGCCTGGGCAAAGCCTGTTTTCAGCTGTTCAGACCAACCTACTCCTGGGCGCATTCTCTGCGAGCTCCTTCCAGAAGGTTTTCCTTGGGAGTGGTGTGGAAGTGTGAAGCACATTGAGAGTGCAGACAGGGCGATGAGAAGAACCGCATCCTGTGGTCCTCACAGGGAAATTAAACGCAACGAAAAATTTCTGGAAGTGTAATTTATTAGCACTGTAATCAGACGCTCTTTGAAATGTATGTATTGTGTATGTATACATCTGGGCCTGTGTGTGCCACATGTGTGTAGAGACCACTTATTTCCATCCACCGTGTGGGTTCCAGGGATCACACTCAGGTATCAGGCTTAGTAGCAAGTGCTTTTACCCAGCGATCGATCTCACCAGTGCCACACACTCTAACATATGAAAAAATTCAAATTCAATTATTCTGCAGGGGTTTGAACCTAGAAAACACCCGTATACAAATACTAACAAGTAATAAACAATAGGACTATTAGGGCAAACCTGTCAAGCACAGGTTACTAGACACAGTTCACATATATAGCTTTTAATAAGGTAGCTACTTTGAAAGCAAAGTAGTTTTTTCTGCATTAAGTTGTGAACGTCCATTCGATGTCAGGTGCAGTCTCTGCACAGAACGCTACAGAAAGCACAGACCAACGATGCAGACATCAACAACCTTGCCTCAGAGTCTAACTGGGGCTCACCGGCAACGATCCTTTCAGAGTCTTCTGAGCTCACCAAGTACGTATCAGACCTAGGCTCTTTCTCAAGGACCTAGTCAATAGCACAGAGGGTCAAAAAAGAGAATTCTATGATATGAAAACAAGTAAACGCAATAAATATTCGTCGAGTTAGTAAAACTTTTGCCATAACGCACACAAAAGGATAAGCCATTCTGTCAAACAACAAGAGGCAGCCAAGAGCAAGATGACTGGGGAGGCTGGGAGTGACAGCATCAGATTGCAGAGCAGAGCTCAAGGAAAGAAGGAAACCAAACACGGGGCTTGCTTAGCGCCCCTCATGGCCCTGTGCAGTAGAGCACCTCCAACTGACAGACGTCATGGGTGCTGGTCAACAGAAACCGAGCTCAGAAACAATGGAGTCCAGGCACTTGCGAGATGTCACAGAACTAGTAAGCGGCACAGCTGGAACCCAAATCTGTGATGGCAAAGTCCTTGCTGTCTGCTCCTCCCCCTCTAGATGGGACCTGTGGAGTCTGACCCTTATCCAAAGACAACGGAAATTCAAGGTTTGGGGATTTTTGTTTATTTGTTTTGTCTTTAATCCTAGCACAGTTGTGACAGCTGTTTCCCTTCTTAACGCTGATATTTAGTGTGTACGTGTGTGAGAATGTGTATGTATGTGAGTGTATGTGAGAATGTGTGTGTGAGTTTGTGTGAATGTGTGTGGGTATGTGTGCAAGTGTGTGGAAGTGTGTGAGGATGTTTCAGTGTGTGTGCAAGTGCGTGTGCAAGTATGTGTGCGTGTATACACGCATAGGCTACAGCACACATATGGAAGTCATAGGACAACTTACTTCTCTCCTTCCCCCTGTGTGAGTTTCAGGGATCTGGTGTTACTATTATCCAGTCTCATTCTTACACCAACACATCACACACATGCCTCAAAACTCAGTAAGTAGCCTTTGTTAGGAACCAGTAGGAACAGGCCAGATGAGAGCTATTCTGAGAGAAACAAGTGCCGAGGTGAACACCGAATCCTTCTCTAGCACCACACCCTGCTCACAGGAGCAGCAGCCCACACACCCGTCCCCACACTAATGACAAGGCCACACAGAACCACACGTTACTAACAGTGAAGGGCACTGCTCAGGAGGTGTCTGACGTAAGACTAGTCATTTATCTACAGTAGAGATCTAGCTTTAGAATCAAGGGACCTAATGCACCCTACAGTTCTCAAACCCACACTGTAAAATTAGAACAAGCCTAAAGTTGGTGCACACAGAATTTTAAATATCGAGTTTCCCCAATTTCACGCTGCTGTGCGCGCCTCTCAAACACAGGCTCATCTACTTAATCCTGATATGCGCTAGGTCTCCTGCAGGCGCCCACAGCTCTGCAAGCACGACTGCCGTCGGTGACTACAGGAAGCACAAGCTTTCGTTACCTGTGCACTGACGTGGCTCTACCCTGGGTGAACAACCTAAAAGTCCCTTCAGAAACTCAATTCCAGGACATCTATTTTGTTATTAGGGCTAATTAAATTTGGATTTTTTTATTTAATTATTTCATAAAATTACAACAGCAAAATATCACTATAAAAATACACAAAACAAATTAAATTTGAGGAATTCAGAGTGGTTTATCACCACAGCCCCTGGAAACCCTGAACAAAAGAACTGTGAATTAGAGGCCATCCTGGGTTACACACGAGACACTGTCTCAAACAAACAAATTACAGAATGACTGAAAGGAAAAAGGAAGAACCATGACACTGATTATCTTAGGAACATGAGGGATATGTAAGCATACGCTGGATTTTCTTTACACACACACTTACTATATCTGAAAGTACAAAGTCTCTTTTATTAGACAGACTCTCACTCACTAGGTAGCCCTGACCGACCTAAAACTCGCTATGGAGAGCAGGCTGGCCTTGAGATCACAGACATCCCAAGCGCCTGGACTAAAGTGGCCACCACAGCCAGCTTAAAAGACCTTTAGTGAAAGTTTGTGAATGACAGTATTTCAAACAGATTTAAGAATCCTAAATAAATAACTCCAAACCATGAGCCACTTACAATCCAGAAGGCAAATTATTGGCCACGGGGATTCCAAATGAATACTGGACAGCTTCCACAAGGACCAGGTCAAACAAGGCTGACAAGACCCAGGAGCCCAGCAAGAAGGACTGAAAATGAAAGGAGAAACAGAGACTGAGTTGCCCAACAATAAATAACGGCTGTTTAGTTAGCATGCATCCAGGTATGCGGGGAGGTACACACATACATGTATGTATGCTTATCGCATATATGTATACATGCATAAGCACAGTTTTATATTTGTTTTTGTTACTTTCCAAAATTGGCAAATAAACCATTATTGTTCACATGTACTAGTTTCTAGAATTTCTAGACGTGTTGAAAAACGACATTCAATTAGGACATACTGCTAATAAGTAGCACATATACTATTAAGCCAAGTAAGAGAAGAGCATTTTATTAGCTAAAGTTCTAATTAAAATTTTTATTACTGGCGCACACACAATGTTGTGTATTACCATCATTTCAATTGTTTTATCATGCTATTGGCTTAAATTTAAAGTTTTTCTTTGGTTAATGTTGAAATTAATCAAATCAGATCTAGAATCATGTAATTTAAGAGATAACTATAAATAATACACTAAGTCTTAAATAAGGAAGGCATTTGAAACAAGGGTCCAGAACAGTGCTGCATGCCTGTAATCCCAGTATTCTGGAGCCTGAATACGTGGTTACAAGCCAGAGGTCATCTTGGGAAAATAGGAAAGATTTTACTTCAGAGTTTGAAATACAAAACGTAAGGGCTGGAGAAGTAGCTGGAGGCAAACCGCACTTGCTTAGCACTCAGGAGACCCTGGGAGGACCGAATGCGCAAACACAGACTACAGAGGTCGGTTCACTCTGAACCTCAGCAGAAACATCAAATAACTTACGGCAAACTTCCTGCTCCCGTATCGTCTCTCAAATATCCTGAAGTTATAAATAAGAAGACTACTGCAGAAAGTGTCTTTCAAGTCGAGGCAAATTATCCTTCCGCATATCAGCCTCCAAATCTAGACGGGGATGAAAACAGAACCGCGAGTGAGTGAGATCTGCTCAGGCCCCTGACATGCACTGTCCAGCTTGAGTTCTCGGCGGTTACCAAGCACATGCAAAAGTAAACTCGGTATGCCTAGCTTCCCTCCGACGGTTACTACAAGATGCATCTTGTTACGGCAACAGAGAACTCCTTGTAAAAACATAACTGGTCGGAGCACTTGCTGCCAAGCCTGATACCGTGAGTTCAAGCCCCAGAACCCACATCTCAATAAAAGGAGACAACTGACTCCACCATGGCATGCTCACCACCACACACACTCACACTCACACACACACTCGCGTGCACGTGCACACACACACACACACTCATGCCAACCGCACTGCAAAGCAGCCCACAGCTGTCTCTGCTCCAAGATGCCAGGCACTTTGTCACCGTGAACTCCAAATTCTCCTAAGGAAGGCCACAAGACTCATCTTCCTGCTGATTCACTAAACCATCAGCACTAGAAGTCTCTGGCCAAGGTTCAAGAGGAAAAGGCCCATGAAAAGGCATGAATACCATGACAGGCAGCCACGTCAGAGCCCGCAGCTAACACAACAGTACCACAACCACAGTGCAACTCTAGGCCAGCAAAGACGACCCCAGGCTGTGGGTACTCAACTATGTACGACGGCTATGCCTGTCATCACCGTAGAGCGGCTAACGGACAACTCCACACCATGGTCAAAGCATCCTGACACCAGGACAATCTGAGGAGGACGAAAATTAAGACTACAGTTACTAACATGCAGTGAACTGTGTATCCAGAACTCTGATGTTTGGTTTTCCTGGGGTTAATGTCAAAAACAGCTGGTAACTAGTCTTGAATAATTGGGGCTTTATTGCCATCCTCGGGGATGTTGTGCAGGGACACCTCTGTCACCTGGCCCTGTGACAGGATGAACACCCTATCACCCACCAAGCCTGTGTCCACTCTGCCGCGACACCTGCTGTGCAGACCCAAGGGGCACCAGGGGCAGAGCACCCTCTCTTTGGTACTAACTCAGCTGCCCTTCCTCCCAGACCTGCTAAAACATCCCCATGCTCCCCGGGGATGCCCACCCAGTCTTGGTCCCTCTTGGTTTATCATCACCCGAGGATCTAGCAGAGACTTGGTTCTCACGGTCCCCTGCTCTTTTTTGTGTGTTTAGAATTCCCAGGGCAGAAGTGAGACTCCTCACTACTCCAAAGCACTTCCTGGGAGTGCACCCAGATGCCAGAGAAGATGCCTGTGGGCAGCAGATGGGCCAGATGAAACCCAGGAACTGGGGGCTCTACTGCTGTGGGACACTGCTCTTGTACCCTGCAAAGATCTGCCACTTGTACTGGTTTAATAAAACGCTGATTGGCCGGTAGCCAGGCAGGAAGTATAGGCGGGGCAACGAGAACAGAATTCTGGGAAGAGGAAAGGCTCAGTCTGCAGTGATCAGATGCAGAGAAAGCAAAATAAGAATGCCTCACTGATAAAAGGTACCAAGCCATGTGGCTGACACAGACAAGAATTATGGGTTAATTTAAAATGTAAGAGTTAATTAATAAGAAGCCTGTGGGACCAGGTGGGGCAGAACCCTCTGTCAACATTCTACATCTCTTCCAGAAGTTCTCAAAGCCGACCTCACACTAGAAATCCTGGGGATTACTTTTTTTAAAATTAACATTAAAAATTAAAATCATTAATGTCCTATCAATTGCTCTTTTATATAAAATTAAAATATTTTCCTTGGCCTGGTGGTGGCTGCACACACCTTTAATCCCAGCACTTGAGAGGCAGAGGTGGGCTCTGAGTTCAAGACCAGTCTGTTCTACAGAGCTAGTACTAGGACAGCTCCAAAGCCACAGAGAAACCCTCTCAATAAACCAACACATATATATTTCCTTTTTGCTTCTTTCTACTGTGTAACTGTGTCGTGTACATACAGTGCCTATGGAGACAGAAGAAGGCGTTGGATCCCTGGCACTGGAGTTTAAGGTGGTTGTCAGCAATACAGGTGCTGGGAATTGAACCTGGGTCTTCTGTAAGAGTAGTGAGTGCTCTTAATGACAGAGCCATCCCCCCAGCCGTTCTTACCCAACTGGCCTAGGGTGAGATTCCAAGTGATCTAACATGCACGTGTGTATGTTCTGTGTGTGGTGTGCATATGAATCTAAGTGTTCTAACATGTACATGTGTATGTTCTGTGTGTGGTGTGCATATGAACCTAAGTGTTCTAACATGCACGTGTGTATGTTCTGTGTGTGGTGTGCATATGAACCTAAGTGTTCTAACATGTACATGTGTATGTTCTGTGTGTGGTGTGCATATGAATCTAAGTGTTCTAACATGCACGTGTGTATGTTCTTCTGTGTGTGGTGTGCATATGAATCTAAGTGTTCTAACATGCATGTGTGTATGTTCTGTGTGTGGTGTGCATATGAATCTAAGTGTTCTAACATGTACGTGTGTATGTTCTGTGTGTGGTGTGCATATGAATCTAAGTGTTCTAACATGCACGTGTGTATGTTCTGTGTGTGGTGTGCATATTAACCTAAGTGTTCTAACATGTACATGTGTATGTTCTGTGTGTGGTGTGCATATGAACCTAAGTGTTCTAACATGTACGTGTGTATGTTCTGTGTGTGGTGTGCATATGAATCTAAGTGTTCTAACATGTACATGTGTATGTTCTGTGTGTGGTGTGCATATGAACCTAAGTGTTCTAACACGTACGTGTGTATGTTCTGTGTGTGGTGAGCATATGAACCTAAGTGTTCTAACATGCACGTGTGTATGTTCTGTGTGTGGTGTGCATATGAATCTAAGTGTTCTAACATGCACGTCTGTATGTTCTGTGTGTGGTGTGCATATGAACCTAAGTGTTCTAACATGCACGTGTGTATGTTCTGTGTGTGGTGTGCATATGAACCTAAGTGTTCTAACATGCACGTGTGTATGTTCTGTGTGTGGTGTGCATATGAACCTAAGTGTGTTTTTCCTGAGCCCGAGGCGACAGTGACACAAAAGCCTCCGTCTACTCTGACGGAAGCAGTGACACGGGTAACAGACAGAAGGACACTCACCGGGACTCTGCATCCACTGTAGGCGGTGGAAGGGGTCAGTGGGCTGAGACCACAGTTTATGCTCAGGGTGGCAAAGGAAGCCACCAGGGCACCCACGTAGCTGGTCCTAACATCCTGACCCCCACACAAGGCCACTCATCCATCTAGAAAGCAGAACTCTGCTCTTTCCGAGAGAAAAGTGATTCCTCGTGGTTTAGCTCCGTGATAGAAACATCAATCGGTGTGGCACAGGCAAAGGAGCCTGAACCATCTCATCAAACACACAGGCTGAGACTGATTTTGAAAAACCGTGCCTATGTGAAAGAAATTAACATGGGTCAGAGAACAACTTGTGGAGGTGGGCTCTCTCCTTCCATCGTGTGGGTCCCAGTGGTGGAACTCAGGTTCTCAGACTTGGTGGCCTTTTATGACAGAGCCATCGTACTAGCCCTAAACTCTCTTCAAAGTATAAATCACATTTCCGCGAGTAAAACCTAGGGTACAAACTTAGGAGTTCAGCAAAAGGTAACCCTGCAATTTCTCCATTATAACCTGCACAGCTGAAAATATCCGCAAATGTAACTAGAAAGCATGCTTGTCAACACAGTATGGGAATACTTGTTACAGACTCGGGGACTTTGTGCTCAGCCCTAAACGAGGTATCTGTCTCACGCTCCGCCCTCCTAAGGCGTAGGTAGCACTGCAAATGTGGGCGAGGGAAGACTGCAAGCCAGGTCTTGGGGAGAGGACAAGCCGAGGCTGTGGCACTTCTGACTTGGGTGGTGGCCTCAGAAGGACCTGGATGGAGAAGGGCTGAGAGGCCCTGGTCCCAGCTGAGGCACTATTGGCAGCTGATGGCCTTTGAAAGGTTTTCTATAGAGGTGTGACCCCGATGGGCTGACCAATTGCCTGTGCTCTGGGGAACGACCCTGGCCCTGCATCCACATGCTGACTGCAGCAGTAACTGGACTCCGCTATTAGGAGGAGGAGGGGGAGGGGAGGTTAGGAGAGCAAAGTGGTGGGCATGGGCCTGAGGAGTTGCAGGGGAGAGAAAGACTAAATATAATTAAAATACAAGAATACTCTTAAAGAACAACTTTAAAATACTGCTTTTGAAACTTTAGGAGTTTCAAGGGGCTAACGAATTGAAGGAAGAAGAGGCAGGTCTAGAAAAAAAACCCTCTTCTCCCAGAGGCCAAAGGAGCAGTGTACCTACTTGGAAGTCGTTCTTGACAGCATGGAGGTCGTACACGAAGAACTTCTGACAGTGGGGCAGCAGGAGAGTCAGCAGGGACAGGGCACTGGGGACCAGCAAGAGACTCTTCGACAGCGGGGCCTTGTCTGGGAAGGAGGAAAACACATCCAGAATGACTGGGATTTAGAAAGCAACACAAGCAAAACCCCATACAGATGAAAAGCAGGGTAACTGACTGCTCTGAATGAAAACGAAGGCCGAGTCCAGAAGGCCCAGCTTTGGCTCTCACTAAAACGTCACCAGCAGTTACGGCCAGGGACAGAAGGCAGGCGTGACCTCTGCTGGCGTCACCGTCAGCTGGCTCGTACACAGTAAACACCCAGTAACCTCCGCACAGCACCAGACAGGAAAGGGTGAAGAACCTTCCAGCAGTTGGCCCGAGGATGACGGAGATTCACACATTGGTTTGAGCACTAACACTACTCACTGAAGGGGTCTCCTGAGGTGTTTCCACTGTGAACACAGGAGGAGCCCCATCAGGTGTCCCATGAGGGCCCTGGGGACCTCCACCTCATCGTACACAGACATCAGCTTTGTGGCCGCTCGGTACCGAGGCGACAGGAGACCAAGCATGTGACTGTGGTGGCAGGAACTGAGACATTCCGGAAGACTCGCTGCAGGCAAAGGACTTCCCATGACAAACCCCCAGGCGCATGTCATGACACGTCACAGGGAAGGGAAAGTCCTGGAACCTGAGCCAAGCCCAGATGTGCGGCAAGTCACAAGTTCTTACAGACACAGAACAGGACGTCTCGAAACACTAACAATGTCTGCACAAGACACAAGCACTTCAGCACTAAATGTCTAATATTTTTCATAAGTTATGGTGTATTGAATATTAATTTTACTACTGCTCATTTCCCTGCCCATTTATAACTGTAGATTATAAGACCTGTGGGGCAGGGGCTTTCCACCTGAACGATGGAGGAAAGAAGACAGCTCCTGCCTGGGTTCTCCCTCCACCACCTTGGAGGCAGAGCCACTGGCCCCAAAGACATTTTAAAGTTGAAACTACATACACTCACAACAACCAAGTGTGTGCACACGTGTCTGCGTGGGTGCCTCCTCCCACACCTAAGTGACCAGGGTCTCACAACCTGGGGCTTGTGTGCCCCATTCCAGGCATGCGCACAGGGTCCAGAGGCCATCCTCCTCCACTGCCCGATCACATGCTGTCTCACTGGACCTGAACTGTACCATTCACACTGGAACTGGCTAACAAGCCCCCAGGATCCCTCTACCCCCACCCCTAGCCCGGAGCCACAGCGGCATAAGTCCACGCCCAGCATGTCCATGGGAACCGAGGACCTGAACTACGGTCTTTAGCTTGTTACTCACTGGGTCTGCCCTCAACTAAAACACTTTAAAGATCATTAGGATGATACAAAGTTTTGCCCGGTTTCCGCTACCACAGCCACTGGGCGCCATCTTCTCTCCTGGGACAACACCTGTATACCCCACTTCCTGCTACCTCACCCTTGTTCCCCAGACTGTACTCTGGGCCGCCTGCCTCCCATCCCAAAGGGGTCCCCTGCTCTCTGGATCCTCTGCTGCACTGCGCTTTGCACCTCATTTCTTCCACACAGTGGCTCCACTTCTGCTGGAAGATGTCTCTAGACTTCTTTCACTGTCCCCAACTCTGCGGCACTCCTCAGGATGTGAAAGACACATGCCTTACTAGAGCACAGCCCCTCTGACAGAGGACATTTCCAGCTCACCAGTGGCAAGGCCCCGGGAGACATCACTGAGGGTCCCTTTCAGATTCTGTACCTTATTCATTAGAAATTCCCTGCGGGTAGATTTATCCGTTACAGTTGGTGCTGTGGTTATGGTGTTTGTGCAAGCATACAGAAATAGCCCAGCGATTTCCTCCCGGGTTGAGACCCTGCACACATCTATACCGGAACTGCCACGCAGTATTGCTCTCTCCACCAAGACTTGCCAGATCCCAAACCTAGCAAAGCACCGTCCTGCCTGGGGCCTCAACAGGACAGGAGGGCATATGGCTGAGACCACAGCCAGTCTTAGACTTGCTGGAGCCACAGAAGTCTCTGTTCTTCTAGCCTGCAGAAGGGGAAATGAGAGTTTACCCATACAATATCAGAATGCATGAGGGCTCAGTGGTAGGCACTTGCCCAGCACCCCTGGGCCGTGGACCTGATCCCCAGCACTTACCCCTCCCCACAATCCCTACAAAAGCTTGACTGGCGGGTGGGTTTCTGTCCTCGTCCAGATGACAGGACCAAAGAGAAAACTGGTGCTGCAGGTTCACCCTGAAAGGGAGCAAGTCCTCCGACTTTTACCTGTCCCTGTGACAGGCAGCACCACGTCCCTGTCGCCTCCTGAACCCACACAGTCGAACCTCACATCCCTGGGCCCAAGACTCACACTGGCACAGTTCTCTGACCAGCAACTCCAATGCTGCTCTCTAGAGCCCTGCCTGGCCTTCTTGTCTCCTCCCCCTCCCTCCCTCTCCTCTCCCACCTCTCCCTTCTCCCCACTCCACTCTCCCAGTGACTAACTGAACAGGGCGCCTTGGCTGTCTCCCTAACCCATCTCTAAAATCACTAAGCACCCGCTATAAACCATGCGCGTCCCTAGGCCCCAGGGCTCAGCAGGGCTGTCAGGACAAAGGCCTTACTCTTACGGTGCGCACCATCCACACGAGAGAAGAAAATAAACAAAGGCAGACATATCTGTCAGCTGGAAGCAAAAGCTGCAGAAAACCCAAGCAGGCAAAGCCCAAGGCTACTACCCACTATGAATCCCCAGGGGCTTCCCACCACGCACAAGGAGGTGTTGCTAATCCACACTAAATGCATTAGGGGTGGCAATGTGACTTGCTTGAGCCAGGGAAACCTAAGATATGTCACTTCCAGCCAGACACTTAGAACTAGTGATACATTCATGCTCTGTCCCTCCACCAGGGCTCAAGATGGCAGCCACCCTATCAGACAGACGTTTCGGCTGAAGACAGGCATAGGACGGATACTCCTATTATTGATCACCCCCAGGTGATTCTCAACGGCTGGGAAGCATTCTTGCTCTTGTAAACCAGGCCTCTGACACTCAGCCAGTGGAGAGACAGCCAGGGAAACCTTTCTCAGATGTAATATTTGAACAGAGACCTTAGCAAGTAGGCCTTGCAGTATGTGGGGGAAGGAGCTCTACCAAACGAACATAAAGTACACAAGTTCTAAGAACCACAGTCAACAGGTAAAGGGCCGTGCACACACAGGCGTACACCCACTCTAAGAACCACAGTCAACAGACAAAGGGCTGTGCACACACAAAGGTACACACGCTCTAAGAACCACAGTCAACAGGCAAAGGGCCGTGCACACACACAGAAGGCGGGATGAGCACAAGGTGCATAGGTGGGTCCTAAGGCCAAGGACGTGGGGGGCAGCAAGCAGAACCTGAGGCACAAGGAGGTTTTCAGCCTCCTCCAGGGTGGCCGGAGTCAGGTGGGGAAGGGTTAGGAAGAGGGACACCATCCATGATACATCGTCATTTGAGATTATGAGAAAACAGAGGAGTAGAAGCCGGGTCCAGTCAGGAGGCCGCTGGGATGATCCAGGTGAGGAACAATGACACTCAACCAAAGAGCCCAGGAAAGGAGGCTGCTGGGCACCTACAGGGACCTGTGCCACCGTCCTGACTGCTCTATACAAAATTTAAACGTGGATTTGGGTTCACCAGCTCCAGCTGACTTGTCAGACCATTGTGTCTTGACAAGACAGAGACATACTGCCAAATACCCTAAGAAGTCACAAATTCTAAAGGTATACTTCAAATTAAGAAACGCACCCATTAGTTCCTGCTTCAGTTCCTCCAGAGCACAGGCTCCTGGCGGCGGCAGCTGCAGCCAGGGATCCCAAAGGCAGTTGGTGTGTGTGTTAGATGGATGGGCTCAGATGGAGAACAGGTACTTACCCAACTGTCCCCTGATAAATACACAAACAGAAACAAATGGCCACGAGTATACAACAGGATTTAATTCAGCCATGAAAGGGAAAGAAATTCTGATCCATGTTTGTTACAATATTGGTGAACCTGAGGACACTGAGCTGAGTGAAATCAGCCCGTCACAAGAATACAAACAGCCCCGTGGTTCCCTTTATAAGGGCACCTAGAACTATGAACTTCACAAAATCAGGGAGTAAAACAGCGGCTGGCAAAGGTGCTGACGCTACAACCAGGGAGTTGTTTAATGACACAGTTACAGTGCTGAGAGGTAAAAGGAGTTCTGGAGGTTTTTATACAAAATTACGGATGGGCCACACGCTGCTGATATGTGCGCTCAAGCATGAATACGGCTGGCTACACAAGGCATGTTTTACGTCACTGAAATTAAACATCAAAAGAGGCACCGGGCAGATGGGTCAGCAGTTAAGAACACTGGATGCTCTCCTAGGGGACCCAGATTCAACTCCCAGCACCCACGTAGTGGCTCAGAACCGTCTGGAACTCTAGTTCCAACAGGTGGGATTCCTCCTCCGGGCCTCCAGGGCACTGCACGCAATCGGTACACAGACATACATGCAGGCAAAACAACCATACATAGAAAACAAACTGTTTTAAAAAAATCAAAAGTAATCACACTTACAAAAGGCCAGCAAGAGATAAAAGGCACTTGCCATATAGTCTGACTACCTGAGTCTGATCCCCAAATGCAAATCAAGATGGACGGAGAGAATCAACTCTATAAAGTTGTATTCTGACCTCCACAAGCATGCTATGACAAACACACTCCCAACTCCCACAAAAACAAATAAAATGCTTATTAAAATAATTTATTCTTTTTATATAACTGTTACAATTTTATCCAAGACAGGTGGCAATATAAAGCTAGTCAGCGTAATCAACTAGATTATTGGGAAACTGTATGGTGTGATGTTTTTCACAAATTTCAAAAAATCAAACCTATTTTGTTTTCTTTTTTTTTTTCTTTTCTATTTTCACTTTTCAAGACAAGGTTTCTCTGGAACTCACTTTGTAGACCAGGATGGCCTTGAACCAGAAATCTGCCTGGCTCTGCCTCCCAAATGCTGGGATTAAAGATGTACGCCACCACCACCTGGCT